ACATAAAACACTTATAATCAGCTGTCTATATGTATTGAAAGATATAGTAATAATCAAGTGAGCATCACCTGTGCAGTGAATGATAGTAAAAAAGTTACAAGTTTAATAGAAGGCAGGTTATTTTTCTAATGGATCAAAGATAAATTGGAATGCTAAAAGAGGTATGAGAAAAGCATATTAACAGTTATTTAAATTTATGTGAAAGTGCAATGCTGGATCAAGAAAGGGACAATACAGGAGAGTTTAATTCATGTACTGAAGTGATTTAAAGTGGTAAAATGTAATAGAAGATAGATATTACCATGACCTGAGTTCTGTAACTTCATCAAATGGATAGTCAATGAAGAAGCAAATATTGGTCTTTGTAGATAGAGACAGCCCTATAAAGATGAAGGAAAGTATAAATTATTTATCAGGTTATTTTATATATACATACATACATGCAACTTTCTAAAGCATATTAAATTTTTTGCTGTAACAACCAAGTAAGATGCTATATCCAACTATATATTTAGGAAAAGGTTCAGCGAACAAACCGTTGAAAGACGAAACTTTTAAATGATTTCCAACAAGGGCTGGTTTTTTTGCTATATTGTTTGCAATAAGAATGCATTATCGCTCCACGAAAGCTTCCCACATTGTCAAGACAACTGTTTCAAACATGGTATGCACTTGAAAAAATTAATTATATCTCATAGTCTAAATAAGCTGGATCTAAAGTATAACAAAATAAACATCAACCTTTTGTTCATAAAAACAATGTCTTGAACATATACTTGCCCGCCAGCTCGTGTATATATGAGCCTTTTGGGTCGTATGTCAATAGCAATTGCAAGTACAGCTACAATAGAGTAATATGTTAGTATGAAATAATGAGGAAAAGAATAAGAAATGGAAGAAAAAAATATGTCAGACAAATAATGATGATACCTATGTCAGTATCTGTGTCCATATATTTTTCGAAGTTTTGAAATGGAGTGATGTGGAATGTTGAAAACAGTAGTGCATCATTGTTTTCTTGTATTTCCGGAAATAGTCCACTGTACATCTCCAGCACACAGTTTATAATCGCTTTTTCGATGTCTTACATATGCATTGGAGATCAAGTATGTTTTTCTAAGGGTTAGTTCATTTTCAAAAGCT